TTATTGTGAATGTCAAAGGACAAGGTACCATTTTGGAATCATCTTGAGCAATTTTACCTTATTTCAAGAAAATAATCACGATAACAGCTATGATAGTAGAGTAGTATAGTCTAGATATAGTATAGATAGTATAGTATAGTCATACCATAACAGGTATGCCAGTCTGTCAATCTACATTCCAAATGCATTGTCTGATTCTTTAGTTTCCATTTGATGAAAATGTCATATACACCAGAGCTATCATCATGACAACTGATAAAATCAAAACTTTGGAAAAGACCTGAAATTTGGGACGGCATATTCACCTGAATACCATAGCTAACATAGGCATAGCCAGGGTGTGTGATGGGGTCACCCCAGTCCCCCTCCCATTAACCAATAAAAAAGAACCATTACAGAGAAGAGATTTAAAACGCTTTTGACTTGAAGCTTCAAGCTCAATTTTGAAGGAATTTTTGTAAGATTTAAGATACATTAAACATTTTTTGAGTTGCTTATGCCGAGATCACACCCCCCTGATTGAAAGCTGGCGCGCCCCTGATTAATAATTGCCATTATGACATCATAATATAACACAATTTAAATCAGATAAGTTTCTATCGTTATTAGGTTATTCTCTGCCATCAAATTTTAGAAGGAATACATGTCAGTCAACTGGTCAAAATGTAACATTTCCCAAATAATTTTTTTACAGCAGATAGTTTTGCAACATACTGTTACCATAGCAACAAGTTGAATTGGATATATTCATTACATTCTTTCAAATTTTTATGACCATACATGTATGAATGAAATAAACTAATAAGCTCAATGAAAATAGATAAACTAATTAACTACTTAAAAGCATTACTGACCATTTAAACGACAATAATTTCCCAGATTTATACATCATGATTAAAATAAAATGTGCAAGAACAAATGGTTATGACGTCATAATTAATATGCAAATCACCTAATTTGCATATCTCTTAAATTTTCTGATTGCTCTTTCCATTACCTTTCATTTGGTACAAATTTCACCTTAATCTGAGCAATATTGACGAAGATAGGGACCAAACACTGAAAAGAGCCCCTAAAAGTGGGTATGGGATATTCACTTTGTTACCATAGCAACGCCATATCGGATTCAGAATCGCCCACTTAATATTTCCTGATTGCATTATCCATTATCTTCCATTTGGTGTGAATTTCATCTAAATCTGAGCAATAATGACAGAGATAGGTGCCATACACTGAAAAGAGCCCCTAAAAGTGGGCGTGGCATATTCACTTGGTTACCATAGCAACGCCGTCGCGGATTCAGAATTGCCAACATCATTTTTCTTGATCAGTATCACGTATAGTTCATAAAAACATGTGTCGCTTAGCTCGCCTCTAAAAAGGACACGGAACCTCATATTTGGACTTTTGCTCCCACACTATTAATCTTAAAAGGGCATGTTAGGGATCTTGGAAGAATGGTCCCATTAACTTTGTAAAATTGGAGTTGAGTGTAAAAATGTATACTAGTGTTAATGTGTACAGTAAATGAAGAGAACATGCAGTTAATAAATGTGATGATGATAAACAATATGTATGTTATTATGTTTTGCTGTTTTCATGTGCCAACTCAAGATTGTCTATTGTTGACTCTTCAATTAATCTGCAAAAACATCAAATGGAGTAGAGCACACTTTAGGGGACATTGTAATATATTGGTAGTGTGGTAATAAAACAGTTAGTTCATCAAATAAAACCTTCATTGATGCAAGCTATATATCAGATATGTGACCTTCAAATCAAGGCTGGCCATCCATGAGTGAAAATACCTCAATGAAATTCTACATGTTATAACCAATTGACTTAAATGGCTGTAATAGTACTAATTTGATACTACTATGAAGTGATACTGTTATGAAGTGGAATTCCAATAATTTGTGAATCTGCCTTATTTTGTATTAAAAAGATGTCAGGGTAACACAATGAGAAAGAGTCTGTTTTGAAGACCTCTCAGAATTAATATTGATTGTCCCTACCAAATAGCCATTGTTTTGTAAACAGCATTCAGCTTTTGCTATATGATATCTTATATTTATTGGCTCACATGGTGAGCGTATGGCGCCAACTTGTCTGCCCAGTCATCTGTCCAACCCTCAATTTTCAGATAAATTAAAACTGTGCTGCTTGGCACACTGAACACAAAGTTAAAAAAGTCGCTCTGTGCAAGCAAAAAATTTCATGCAACTTTTGGATTTTGGTACATGCATGCATATGTTGTATACTATAGCGACCACTAATGAGATATAAGTGGACAATGCAGCAATCTAAAAACAAAACTATATACAACTTAATGACTCACTGCCACTTATTTTGTTACATACCTTCACTGTATAAATCACTTTCATGTACTCCATCATGTTCCTAAGAGACATCCAACAACAAATTATTTACAAAAGCATCTTGACAATTTCAACTTAAAGGGAAGTTGTCAATAGTTCTTTGTCTGTTTAGAAACATTTAACTAAAGTATGACGTATATGATATATCATTCAGTTTATGTTGTACTTTCAGGCTTTTATTCAAATAATATAGGGCCTCGAGAAAAAAAGTTACAGATCTTTATTTTTGGAACTCCTACTAAGTACCAACCCCCCCCCCCCCCCCCCCAACTTAATAAAACATCTGTTCAATATAGGATTTTCATGATTTTTTGTAACATACATTTTAAGATCTAATTCTTCTTATACACATGTAGAATATGATAAATATTTCAATAACAATTGTGGCATCTCGACTTGAGATTATTTACATAACATCTCGATGTCTCTATAACATTTTCAAAAAATCCAATAAAAGTCTTAGGAATTTTCATTGGTGGGGATAAACAGTCATGCCATAGTCTTAATTGGGATTCTAAATTAATTAATTTAAAAAAACAACTCCAAATATGGAAATTGAGAAAACTAACATTATATGGGAAGGTACAAGTCATAAATTCACTAGCAATTTCTAAGTTCGTTTTCAATTTTAGTTGCCTGGAAGTAAATGATGAAATCATTAAGCAAATTGATAAACTAATTTTTAATTTCTTATGGAATGGCCAAGACAAAATTAAAAGGAAGACTGTGATCGGAAAACTTAAGGATGGTGGTCTAAATCTTGTAGATACAGATTCGAAAATTAAAAGTTTAAAGGCAACGTGGGTAAATAGAATTATCACAAGTGAAACATCCTGGCAACATTTCCCAAAATATCTTATAGAAAAAACAGGACTGAGCTTGATAACATTTTTACACAGTAATTTTGATAAAAAGCAGATACAGAAACTTAATCTATTTACCACATTTTACGAGGATGTGTTTTGCAGCTTCAATGAATGCAAAACCTTTTCAAATATTAAGGAAATAAACAAATCTGATGTTTTTAATGAAATATTATGGTTAAATAAAAGATATCTAATAAAAAATGATATCTTATACTTCAAAAATTGGATTGAATCCGGTTTTATCATAATCAAAGATTTTTTTGAGAATGATGGCAATTTTAAAAGTTCAGATATTTTTCTTGAATCACTTAAAAAGAAGAGAAACTGGATCTCTGAGTTGAGTGTAATTAAAAAGTAATAATGTCTTTGTGTAAAAATTTTGACAAAACAAAACTCAAATACCTAAATACTTTTAAAAACAGAAAGACATTCTTTATCGGAAACAGATATGTTGATTTAATTGATAAGAAAGCAAAATTCTTTTACAATGAATTAATTAACTTCAAATCTGAAAAAAACATAAATGAGTTTAAATGGAACAAAGAATTTAATATTCAAGATAAGAAAATCTGGAACAATATTTACCTTCAAAAAACTATAAATCTTAACTATAGATACTTTGCAGAATTTAATTATAAGATTTTAAACAATTTACTTGCTTGTGGAGATATGATTTCGAAGTGGAACAGTAATATTCAAAGTTCTTGCTGCATTTGTAAATGCAGACATACTTCAAAACATTTGCTTTTTGAATGTAAAAAGGTCACCCCAATATGGGAAAAATTTAGTCAGATTCTAAAATGTCATATCAAATATAAACATTTAATCATTGGTTGGCCTTTAGGAAACAACATAACCCACTTCAGAAACATTCTTATTACAATAATCTGTTTAGCAATTTACACCAAGTGGTGTGAATTGTCAGAAGAAATTGAAAAATGGAAAAATATTGATCTAAACTTAGTGATATGTAGAACTATTTTATATTATAAACATATATTTTTAAGGATTGATAGTGAACTTCCTTTTGTTAAATGGCTTTCATCAATCCTCAAATAAATGTTTATCTCTGAATCCTATATCCTTTTATACCATGTATATTTCTGTAATGTTTTATATGCACTATTTTGTATGGATATGTATATGAAATCAGAAATAAATTTATTATAAAAAAAAAAAAAAAAATCTCGATGTCTCTACACAAACTAAGTCTTAAAATATTGATGACTTCCCAAGTATTTTAACCCACTTGTCACCATGTCTACTGTAAATTTAAATGTTGGTTATTAAGTAAGACCTCTTCAAATTTCAAAATTGTCCCATGATCGACATAGATTTTGTTATATATCTGGTACAACTAGAGTGATGGCGTCAGCTTTGTTAACTTGGACAAACATAATCCAGGGTAAGTTAAAAACTCAATAAACTGATAATTATTCCAATTCTTTTTCCAGGGAATTGTAATTTGGATACATGAACATACCTTAGTTTTAGATCTTAGCAGTCACAAAAAATAGGTGAAGGCATTAACATTACAAAATACTACATAAAAAAGTTGAACAAAATTGAAATGGACACTATCACCAAGTGATGAAGCAGAACACTGGTCACATACAATGGTTGCTTTGACAATATTTCACAGCATAAATTAGAAACTAGATGTAATCTAAAACAAATATAGCAATTTGTTTATCCAATTTTTCAGTTTGTCTCGTATTTGTTCTCAATGAGGTAACAACGGAGCATGGTATAAGGTATGTACATGCTACTTAACTATATTATTCAGAATGATGTCACATCACAATCTGCAGATGGGTATGTTATATTGAAATTTAAATCTTTTGGACCATACTGTACATTTGACAACTCCAAAATGTAGTCCAAAATACAACTTAACTCTTTTGTACAGTTATTTTAATTTGTTCAAAATTTTTATAATTTGATCAATGTTACTTACATCTATACTTGTATCATCTCGAATGCTAAATTAAATATTCTCTTGGACTACTATAGACCATATAATGTTCCAGGATTCATACAGAAAATACAACTAACCAACCAAACTATGATGCTAGAACTGAAGCACAAGGTATATTTACCAATCTTTCTATCTGTCTGGTCGATGGTACAAATCGTTTGAATTGTGGTCCCCCAGGAATAGCAGAAGAAGAATGTTTGAACAGTTACTGCTGCTTTGATACAAAAGTATATGGTGTACCATGGTGTTTTCAACCCAGCAATTACACAGATATGATTTCATCTATAGCTACAACCACAACAGAATCAGGTAATCTATTACAAATACATGTATTATCATTAGAAATAGTAAGTTAATATAATAAGTTATAAATGAGATTTTGGTGATTCTTATTCTAAATTGCTGGTGACTACTAGGATGTGTGTCATCTTTAATTGCCATGGGTAATAGATTTAAATATTAATGAAATATAAACAAATATTATATCAAATTATTGAATATTAAGCCAGGGAGATACTCAATTTACATTATTATCAAGATGATGTTTAATTTAGCATAACAGTTGCCCTTGGTACAGTACGTATATCTAAAACAAAATACTGAATGGGATATTTTCCTACAGAGGGGACTACAACCGACCAAACTACAGAACCAACCACTGCCATACATGAAACAACCACATGTGCTCCTGAAACAACTGCTACTAATGGAATAGAATATTCAGAGGACAACATTCGAAATACCAACTACAGCTAGGAAAACAACAGACCAAACTACAGGACCAACCACTGCCATACATGAAACAACCACATGTGCTCCTGAAACAACTGCTACTAATGGAATAGAATATTCAGAGAGGACAACATTCGAAATACCAACTACAGCTAGGAAAACAACAGACCAAACTACAGAACCAACCACTGCCATACATGAAACAACCACATGTGCTCCTGAAACAACTGCTACTAATGGAATAGAATATTCAGAGAGGACAACATTCGAAATACCAACTACAGCTAGGAAAACAACAGACCAAACTACAGGACCAACCACTGCCATACATAAAACAACCACATATGCTCCTGAAACAACTGCTACTAATGGAATGGAATATTCAGAGAGGACAACATTCGAAATACCAACTACAGCTAGGAAAACAACAGACCAAACTACAGGACCAACCACTGCCATACATGAAACAACCACATGTGCTCCTGAAACAACTGCTACTAATGGAATAGAATATTCAGAGAGGACAACATTCGAAATACCAACTACAGCTAGGAAAACAACAGACCAAACTACAGAACCAACCACTGCCATACATGAAACAACCACATGTGCTCCTGAAACAACTGCTACTAATGGAATAGAATATTCAGAGAGGACAACATTCGAAATACCAACTACAGCTAGGAAAACAACAGACCAAACTACAGGACCAACCACTGCCATAAGTGAAACAACCACATATGCTCCTGATACCGTGGATACTGTGGCTGAAGATACAACCATGGTTAACTATAGAACCACACAAAACACATCTAATCCTCAAGAACAATTTACATGTAAGTGTAAAATCAACCTTACATTGTGTAATAGGGAAGAGTGTAATGTTGCCAAAAAATGCTACTGACAGAAAATATTGTTCATTTACTATGTTTTATGTAATATTTGAACAACCAATCAATCAGATACATGTACATGTTTATGCTTTTCAGGGTATATAATTACCATAGTAACTGGAGTTGTTGCATTGCTTCTTGGAATTCTGATAACTCTGACTGTTATTGCAGTTATGCACAGGTAAATACAGGGTGACACAAAAATTGAAATCCTCAACTTTGGGATGGAATACTTTCCTTATGTAGATGGCGTTCATTGCTTGCAAAGTGGTGAATTTAGAAAGCATCAATGACTTTTAGATTAGAGTAGTCACAGTATCTGCCTGACTATGACTTGTTGTCATGACAAACATTGAAATGCAAGTTCAGAAATCTGCCAATATTTAGCGAATAAGCAAGTCAATTCATTATAATTATTCTATAAAAGAAGGTATACATAGATCAGATAAATAATTTGTAACATGAATGAAAAGTTTTCATATTGAAAACAATCCTGACTGACAGAAATAATGGCACAAAAAGGAATTCCCAATTCAAAACTCTTATTTCTCTAATTGCAGTCACTTGTTTCCATTGTGATTGGTTGAACCAATAGAAGTGAGTGAATGTGAAAATTTTACAATTTGTCTCCTGTTATACTGTAGCTGAATACAGTATCTCATTAATTTTGGAAAACTGGAACAACTGAAGATTCTATTTCATTTATTAATTATGTGTCCTATTTAACCATCACCTTTAAACCTAGTTAATGTCAAAATGTCCTAAAAAGAATCATGACACATTATAGTACTCTTGATTTAGAAATCTATTCTGATGTTTCAGGATAACAAGAAGTAAATCTGAAGCTGTTCCTGACAAGTCCACCAGTTCTGATGTGGACAGTCTCAATGCAAACATTCACAAGGTTGACATCCCAAATCCAGCATATGGGGCACGTAGACTGGATATACAGGATAATACCATATATGAGACATTAAGGAATTAGAAATCAGCTAAAATGTGTAGGACTTAGTATGCATGGATGATAGCTGCCATAAACAGACTGGTAACTGGTTAACTTCTGGTCATATCCACTTCATGGGTGTCCATACTGATAACTTATACCAGCGATCATGGCTCCTACAATTGCATAATTTTGGTCAAATAAGCTTTTTGTCTTTAAAATATCACCATTTTCAAAATATACAGTGGTGTCAATTTTATGTTGATTTTGAAGACTTTTCATGAGCTTGTGAAGCTTCATGAGCGATTTTCAACCTGTTATCTCTTTCACTGAGGTATAATAGTGCTAATTTGAGGACATATTGTGGCCCAAAGCAGTCACATTGGGACAAAAATCTTCATTTCATTGGATAAATCAATCACCAATTAAAGAGATTTGTAAGCACTTTGACTGTGAAGTATCCAATGGCATCTTATCCTTCTGCACATACTCCCTCAAAAACAACCTTTTTATGTACAAAAGTACAAATTGTGGCTTGTCTTTCTGATGCTTATAACACAGTCATACTGGTATAGATGAATAAACAAAACATATATACTTAATTCAAATCAATGATTTATTTGAGTGTAGTTAGGAACATTGACAACAATAGAAGTTTTCTTGGAAAAACTAGCAACATGTAACATTATGTAACTCCATTGCAACAGAAGTCAAACAAAACACAATGGGCCTTACAGCCATTACATAACCTTCCCATTCCCAAACTAAGCATACAGTGAAATCTTCAGATGTGAACACCTTTTGAACTGCCTATTTTAGTCTTTAGTAAATCAATTTAATAGGAAACATTGGAGTCTTAATCATATTTTAAAAAATAACATGATTTAATAAATGATGGACACAGTCAGTGTAACATATGTTCTCTGAATCAAAATTCATATATATAGCAGTCTGGGACTATTCATGTAAAGTAAAACAGGTTTTCAGATGGTTAATGTGTTTATAATATAGGTTTTCATATTATTTAAAAGGTGTTCACATTCACAGGCTAAACTTCACATCAACAAAAAATACTCAAATATTTTTCCCCATCTAATTTTTTCTCAGAAATCTTATTTTTCCTGAACATGTTTTTTTTATCTTTTCTCTACCAGTGTTGGAATGTTCATTTGACTGATACTAATATTTTTGCTAATGAAACATTTAACATATCTGAACATTCTTGACTACTCCTGAATAAATAGGTACTGTATGCTTTTACACAAAGGTTGATGATCATTCAAAAGACGATCTCTTTATTCATTGACGTTTGATCATTTGGCCTCATTCTGGCTTTTTGATATTATCCAGAAGTAAACTCAACCTGGATTTAACAGACCAATTATACACAAACCTAACCATTCTTGTACTTGCATAGAATTATTCCCCCATTATTCACAATACTTAGCTATTCAACCTACACTTTCCCACAAAATGATTAATAACATTAAATCATATGTATACCATTTAACATATAATCGTCTACTATGGATGTAGCAGAGATGTCACATGACAGGACGTAACAGACCAATACAGAAAAATAAATAATAAAGTTAACTTGTTCATTAGTGAAACTAAGGCTAGAAAAAACAAATCTTCATATAGCATTACTTGTTTTAATTGAAGATTGAGGGAATACGGTTTAATAGTTATTTTCTTTCATATCTACAATATGCTTAAAAATGAAAGTTTATTTCTGATCAATTCTGCTTGCCCTCATCATGTGACAACAGACCTACATGTACATACATACTGCAGTGCAAAATAATTCTTAAACATGTTCACATAGAGCTTACTTCAAGGTAAGATCACCACAAAAACAAAGACCTGTAAAACATATACATAGAACACACATGTATTACATTTTTCATGATTCTTCATTTGCCATGTTACTCTTACCATTTGTCGAGTTTTTAATTAATGAATGGAGAACAGAATTATAAAACAGTAAAATGCGCTACTGTACAGAAAGGAACATAAATGGTACATAAGTGTAAAAAAATGTTCTCTTGGCGAGCTGAAAATTGAAAGTTCAATTTTTTCTTCAAAGTGTGAGATAAATATGACCATGAATACCATCAAGTTGTTGTTTAGCGCACACAATAATTATTGAAAATGGTCATAATGGCCATAAACAGTCAATTAACATTTTAAATCTGCCACATCAAAATCAAATACTAACACACAAAGGATACTTTTCTATTCATGGTCTATTCCCAATTGTGATTCATGCGCAGTATTCATAATTTATCACACACTTTAAGTTGGACCCAGTACAATCACTTCATGAACATGAAACATGTGTAAAAGGTCCAAGTTAATTTGCCAGATTATTCTTTCTAATCTTCCTAACTTAATAGCCCATTCTGTTATCATGCTTCACTAATTATAAGTAATATTCCTCACTTACGGTACATTTCTCCCTTTCCTTCTCTAAGTAACATTTTGTCCATAACTAACCAGATTTGTTATAAACTGTAATTTCAAAATAGTATGCAGTTTTGAAATTGAAATCAAGGAATGAAGCATCACTAAAAAGCAATAATTTCTATTTAAAATACATGTATATGAGTGAAAAGGAGTTTGCGTAAATTGGTAAATATTGTATATGTCGCAACAAAATGTCAATAACGACAAATTCTTGTTACAATCTCATATAGCATACCTTTTAGTCTCGTACATAATGCCTTCTATAATTCCTTTACATTATGCAATTGAGTGCACTAAGAAAGTCAATTCAAAAAAGTCATACCCCAAACACATGGTAAATCAAAATACAATCATATGACTAAAATACAGATACAACCAGCATTCACATGTGCAAGATAACATCATATCATTTCTCAGTTTTTTTACTCAAAAACAGGATAAGATTAGAACAATTTCTAACCTTGACAAGACACAAGACAAGAATATTCATTCTTGATTTACTTGAAAATAACCTCTTCATCATTATCGCCATCGCTTACAACCATGAGAGGTTCATCAAACTTTAAGGAACTCTTCAGTTTTGGCTGCTTTTTTCTCAGGTTTAATATTTAAGTTAAGTTGAGTAGTTTTCAGTTTGGGCTGTTCCTTTTCTCAGGTTTAATATTTAAGTAGTGCATTTCAATGCTTGTCATGGTGGATATATGGAGGTGTGCTTATAAATCTCAATGACAATTATGTACGAGGGTCGTCCCATAAGTAATGCACTATTTTTTTAACAGTATCAACTCAAAATGAAGTTTTTCCAAGTCAACAAGGATGAATAATCTTATGCAAGTCCTTCCATTAGAGGATGAGAATTACACTGAGAATGATAAAATGTATTTCTCCACACAATTCCATAAATGAATAATTTATTAAATTGAACTGCAAATATGCAATAATAAAAATGAACAGAATTTGTTTAATGTGATATCAGTTAACAATAAAAAGCTCTTAAAACATAACTTAATAGCATAATATATTAGTAACATCTCAGCATATTTTTATATCTATACACTTATAATAAATTTAGGACAAGCAACAAATATTTTATAATACATTAATATATAACACTTAACTTTGAAGAAGCCCTACAATTCTTATAAAATCTTGACTAAATAGAACTTTAATACAATTAGGTTTATATTACTTCAAAGGCATTCTGCCATACAAAAAGATATATATGAAATATTTACAAATGGTCGCTGTAGTAACAGTGACAAGAATACAGTACACAGAACTCTATCTCCATCTATTTTTAAATAACTAGACTAATTTTACTATGTTCATAACCAATACCAATAAGATAGAAGATTTAAGAAAAATTCAGAGTTATGAAAATCACGGCCCTGTAAACTTTTGCTAGAATACAAGTCTGTGTTTATCAAAACAATAAAAGTACATTAATTTACAGATTTTATATTACATTATTACATACAGTAATCAGATGATACATTACTTTCCAGATTTAACTTGAATGCATATTTTGACTAGTGTCACAGCTTCTTATGTACATTATATTCTCTTACCTAATATGGTCAGATTTTGAATAACTTTTGTCATGTTGTCCAACATTTCCTAATATGGAAGTCAAATTGCTACATATAAGCATGATCACCCATATTATAAAGAAATGTTCATTGAACATATAATAATATAACAAAATGGATTTAAGAATTTACAATTAAGTTCAACAGATGGTATCTGTTTAATATACTATAGTAAAATGTAAGTAAAACATGCAGAGTTCACATATAGGTCCATCTCTCCTCTCTCTATCCATTAAAGTATGCACACATAATTTTATATCCACCAGTATGATATCCTCACATAATGTTATATCCACCAGTATGATATCCTCACATAACATTATATCCATCAGTATTGTATCCTCACATAATGTTACGTCAGTCAATATGGTATCCTCACATTTCTTATACAGCGATAGCCTCCTCTAATATGGTGGTATCCTCACATTATTGAAAGTCCTCCTATATGATATCCTCACATAATGGTATGTCCTCCAAGGATCTTTCATGAGTATTTAAGTGGTGTATATATTTACATTACTGCCAAATGATCAATATACATGTACTTAATATACAACTATAAAGTTGAGACCTTTATAGTAAGTAGTAACACAAAGTTTCAACTTGGTTTTAAACTTTCTCATCTTTATCAACTCACTTTGATATTTCTGAGTGGAAATCCAGAAAATGATGTGACATTTCCTCATGTTGAATAACAGGCTGCATATGTGCCCACTGAGTACATCTAACCAGCCAACAGAAAAGCATATCCACTCTGGCAACTGCCACTGAGTGCATATTGAAAACTACCTACTCAAGAATTTCCCTATATCCAGGGAGCACTAGCTTTTGTTGAATGAGCCACTGTAAGAGCCCTCTAGTGAGGAATCTGAAGGTCGCCTGACATGACCTTGACCTTGGCCACCACTCTGTCCATGATGGCCAACTAGGGAGGATGATGAGAATAGTTTGTACCAACCAAAGACAATGTTAGAAAGATCTAGGTCTTCAAGTAAGATTTGAGAGACTCCCATAAACACTTTACGGTCCATACGTCCATAATCTCCCCAGACAGTCACCTGCAAGACAAAAAATAGCTTGATAAAAAATCTATGAAGCTAATTTGGAGCCGAGATAATCTGAGGTCAACTTAAAACTTCAGATGAGTTAATATACTGATGAGTTGACATGGGGTTGAGATGAGTTGGATTGATTCTTATGCAAAGATAACATCAGGAATTTATCACCATGTTGCAGTGATTCAATTGCATGGCCTTTCCAGAAATGAATTATGCAATGTATGTATAATGAGGTATTTGTAATTAAGAACTGTCACTCCAGGTCATGAAAATAAAGTAAGAGTCCAAAACAGAATAATTCAACATAAAGCATTTGCACTGTACAGGAATGATTTTAAACCAGTCTTCAAAAAAACAAAAGGGCACATTTGAGATAATAACCAATCACTAAAATATGTATATTATCAAAATTGTATATATACAACTATTGTATATTGTTTCAAAAACTATGAGCGATGGTGTAGACTATAGATGGTGGGAATGCATTAAGAATGTGTTTATGATCTCAATATAGTAATATGAAGAAACAATCTTAGCCCACTTGGCTTGTAGATGCCACTTAAGATAAGGAGCTTGTTAGGGGGAGAGTTTAAGAGGTGAATGACAAGTCAGGAAGGCTCACTGAAATCATCATGATTCATGGCAACAATTTTGTAAAATATCACAATGCTGAATGAACATGTAAAAACTGAGACTCATAATTGATGAACTCATTCCTATTTTCAGGATGCAAAATTAATTTGTACCTGTAAGTGGAACACCTCCCAAGTGGAAAACTTCTTAAGGTACCAAAAGTTGTTCCACTTCCATAAGTTTTACTGCACTGTACTTATACAATTCAATATCAAGACCAATCATTGGCTATTATCTACCAATATTCAATAAATTTCATAAACAAGACTTACCTGTAATATTTTTCCTACATAAGATTCCATAAAAACAAGTTGTTGTTGATATAAGGGGTCCAATGTGCGCCTAACTATGGTGGTTTTCTGTTTCTCTACACAGGTTTTACCTTCCATCAGATAAACCTTCACATAAGGGGCTGAAATTATAAAGAGGTTTTGGCATTGAGGTTGTGGCCACAAACATACATAAGTGAATGATTTCTCAATTTCAAGAATATTTTAAGATCTTTAAATATCCATAAGTTCTTATTTACTAATATAAGAATATACTGTGCTTATGCTAGGATAGAGTACGCTCCTACTACATTTTCTGACATAGTTAGAATGAGCCATCTATGTTCAGTACCTGGAAGTATTTTTGCCCCAGGTTTTGAGATCAACCCCCGTGCCCGGATGACCTCGACCTCCAAATGACCTTTCCTGTCATACAGGGCTAGCTGTATCTCTCCTAGACAGGGGGACCCAAGCACCTGGCGCCCAACCAACTGGGCAGGCCCTAGACCTTCAATGAAGTCTCCAAACTGACCCTCTGGAGCTAGCCTCATAGCTGATGGGAGCCACATGCTGAAAATTGAAAAAATTCTTTGTCACAGCAGAATGTTTTAAGAAACATTTACTTTCTATAAGTTATATATTCACTGACATTTGAAGTCAATTATAAATTCTTGATTTGTTAGCTGAACATCTGAAGACTTTTGTAATATATTTAATGTATTAATTACAAATCTCCAATTTTACGAAAGCGTTAGGTCTTGAAGTCACATTATGTGTTGCCATGGCAATGGATATTGCTTGAAATCTGAACAAAACAACATCTCTTTATGTACACACTTGTTTCAAGTCAATCTGATTACTATTCAGAGTTACTGAAACAATAATATGTCACAACTGCACAAGGATTATTGTATATATTTCAGTCAATGTATCAAACAACATATGGTATAATATTTCTTGTTACATAATATTTAAAAACACCCTATATGAAATGAGTGGAGATAAACAATATGGATACTCTAAAGGATAAGAAAAGGGAACAAAAAGCCTAAGAATAGCAACCCCTGAACTGTCTTGACTTTATTACACGAAGCCATTTGTCATCACATTATGATTTCATATACAGGGAGATTTAGATCTATCTTTGAATGACTGTTTCTTTACAAGCATATTTGATTAAATTGAAACACAATGCCATGCATAATTTAATATCTACCACTTGAAATAGCATGGTATTTTATAAAATAAACATCTAAAACTATACACATACACAAGTTGTGGTGCTATTTTCATTTAATTTTTGTCTCCTTCACTCGTCCTTTACTGTATCCATATTCACTCACTTTATACAGGGTGGAAAAAATTATACAGTTGCAAAAATTCTAAGATGACCAGTAAAATATAATCCATGAATGAGAAATCACACAAGTCCAGTAAACCAATGGACACAAATCAGATATTAAAAATATTACACTTCTAATGGAAATCAAGCAAATCTATAGAAACACAGCTGCAAGGTAATAGAAACACCTTCAAATGTGATCTATAAAATATGACATCTTCAAATGTGATCTATAAAATATGACATCTTCATATGCAATCTACAAAATGTGACACCCTTCAATTGTGATGTCAACAAACACACATATTCAAACTGAGGCTTACGACAATGATGAAGCTACACTGGAGTTTAAGCTAGAGTCCAAGTCAATATCCGATGACCCCATCATATTTAAACCATCTTTTATGAGCTGGGATACTCTATTCGGAATGGATAGCAAGATTACACAGGATGTAGCATACACATAGTTTCATATGATATATAGAATGATTACATATTATATGGAAGGATAAGAATATGTTATATGATTTCATATAATGTGGCAGGATAACAAAGATGTAGCCTGATAATTCATGATATAGCATGATTACACAAGATGTAGCATAATCACACAAAATGTATCATAACTACACATGGTGAGGCATGATTACATAAAATTTAAAGACGTAGATTCAGATATTATAAATGTTGTAACACTCAGCACGTCTATTCTCTCCCTAGTTAACTCAAGACCTATTGAATTTCTTAATATTTTTATTAATAGAAGTTTGACCTTTCAAATGTGACTTTGAAGTCATTGAAGTTATATAAATGATAATAAAGCTGAATCCAAATGAGGTAATGTAACCTTAATGATAACAGTATAAGGAAAACCTTTAAAATAACATACAGGATTAAACAAACAATTGACACCAAGTATGACCCTTTTCTGTTTTGTAATCTTGTTTCAAAAACAAGACATCAAATCAAAAACAGAAAACATTGATTTTTGTTTTATGATCATAAATCAGATACCTATGATTAAAGAACTTGAATTTTTTCTTGTGATATCATTTAATTGCCCCGTAGATATCAACTATCAACACTCATTCGCTTCGGTCACTTGTGTTGATATTTGATATCAACTCTTTGATAAAAATTATATTACCCAAAATGATCTGATATTCAGTATTTATTTCTATAATGATCTGAATATACCTTTGATCAATTTTTGTCAATGATTAAACTGGGCCTAGAAATAAGAAAATGTACTTTGACCAAGGATAAAATGTATATGAATGTCATTTTAATAAAGAATTTGGAAGATGAGTAAGGAGTTGATTTTTTCTCAATGATGTGTTCATGAGATTGCTCCTAATGCATACACAGTTTTCACGTGAGCCTACAACACCTTTAGGTCAACAAGTATTCATTGCAAACAACACTGACTTCACAGAAATTCAAATCAGTTGAAATTAAGTATCAAGGTTTAGTTTTTAAAATATACGAATTACTATTGAGAAAACTTACGCATTTGTTGATGTGTCACTGCTAAGGCTACCTATGCTGCCATCTGTTGAGTCTTTACTAGTCTGACGTGTGATCCTGTTTCTCATATCAGCAGCTGCCCCGACTTCTTCACTTCGTTGAAATGTGCTTTTTGGCTTTTTTCCTCCTTCTACAAGCAAATGCATACTCCCTACTATTCTGATGCGATACATTCTTAGCAAGTCCATCAAGAAAGAAATGTTAACAACAAAAACAATAATGAAAATTCAAGCTATGTTTTTTTCTAAAATGACTGAGCAGTCAGTGTATATTCCGGGTTGAACACATGTCACAAGTTTTATCATCTTTTTCCTGATTGGTTGCGTAGAATTTCCTTTCATGGATGACTGTTTTAGAAGCGTTGGAACAGAAAAAGTTGACTATTTAGTTTGCAATGTACTTTCTGTCTTTATATTTTTTTTATATATATTTTTGTTTATATATTTTGTACAGCAAATTTCATCAAACAATGATTAGTTTGTTACATTGAGATCATTATTTTAATGCTTTTTTAGAGCTTCCATTTTTTATATTATTCATAAATCTTTGTGGCTCAATAATTATCTATAATCCAAATACTTCATAGCATTCTTGTTGATGTGTATTTCTTAATTTTTTCCAAATTATTGCAATTTCAGGCTATGCATAGTCTCAATTGTAAAATTTCCACTCGCTAAAACATGGGAATATCCCAGCAATGTGAAAAGAGAAAATTAAATCTTTGCTTTCTATAATTACAGTTGCTATGGCACCACTTGGTAAAACAAAGCCAACGTCAGAACTTCATTAGGTCTACTTTGTATTTTTTGTCCACTAAACGTGCTTAAAGCTATTGCTTTCTGTCAAAGATGCCACGATTAATACCATCATTTATTCCTCAATGGCAAGACTAATAATCCAAAGGGAGTAAGCTGTTTGTGTTACTATTGTTTTTAGGTCTTAGTCTCTTTTATTATTATCAACTATCATACTTTGACATTACCTAATATGCATTATTCAGTATTAAATTGACTATATTTAGTTGTAACATGAGTATAATTCATACTTTAAGCATAGATGTGTATATGTATTTTAAATTATCTATTTTGCATATGTATGGAATGTATCAAAGTTGAAATTTACATGAGAGAAAATAATTTGAATGCCAAGGTGTAGCTAATCTCATTGAAGATCTTATAAGCATCAGACAAGGGTGCCATCATTTCTCAAAATGACCATCATATTAGATGAATTGCCAGAAGAAATATGTCATACTGTACTTATGTATAAAGTATCAACAAAAAATTATTATGGCTGTCATATTTTCGAAAGAATTTGAATTTTGGACTTATCAGCTGATATTATGAAAAGAAATCATCCTTGTAGCAGAACCTGTACTTACAACAGGCAGATGGATATTAAAAAAAAAATGTGTTGACAGCATATGAGTTATCAACCAGATAGAAGGACACACATACAAGCAGATGAACAGATGGACGGACATATGGATGGAGAGTCTCTTATCTATAACCCCCCCCCAACTTCATTCAATGAGGTAACAAATAAGATATCAAGTTGCTTATTTACAAATGCTGATCAGTGATGTCACTTGTACTGATATAAACATTATCTTTTAACACAAGTAAGTTCCTTAATTAGACTAGAGCCTACAAAACAGTGATGATATAATCTTTTCAGGTACTTGAAAAGTTAAGGTCTATTTTAAGTGTATGATACATGGCAGATTACACAGCAAAAGAGATAATACAACTTTCCAGGCCCCAAGAATAGACGTGCTAATTGACCATTCTGTCACCTTCCCATGGATATCAGCTTATTCAATACATGTTCATGTTTATTTCCTATTTTTGTACAATTTCAGAGAAGCACCTAAATTTAATGTATTTATATACAATATAAAGTTCCAGTCATTTTAACCATGGGGTTTCTCTTGAAAGCCAATGTTTTAATTAATTTCATGCATATTCCTCAATTTTGTTGCGGAAAGATTTATTTCAGTGGAAGTTGTTTAATTACAAGCCTAGAGACGTCCCAGGTACTTCTGAGATATATCACCAATTAAACCAGCTCACAAATTCAGACCCGTAAAACTCAAACCAGATTTTGTCAATTAGGTGAATAATTACTAAACGCACAAAACATATGTGAAGACAAATTTGTACTTTAACCTAAAGATTATCCACATGTTTATAAATACTTTAATTACCTGGGAGGTTTTAACACAAATAGAAGAGAGATTCAAGGACCAGGTAGAATTATTCTTATCTGATAACCTTAGAAGAAGGAAGAAAGAAGGAAGAAATAGTTTAGTCTTTCTAGTATGCCTATACATTGGTTTTATATTTGTCCAATAAACTATGTTAACCTCTTGAATCCCAGGCTCTAAAATTGGCATGAAACCAGAGAATTTTTCATTTTTTGCCACCTTTCGACATTTTATTACATACCTATACAACTTTAGATGCTCAGCTTAGTAAAATTGGACGGCAGAGATCATTTCTACACGTTTTAAAACAATTTTTGTGTAAATTGGATGAAAATTGTTCAAATGAGAGCAATTTTTGTGAAAAATTTTGTGACGGATTTTCTCGTCCATCTGGGCACCAGTCTTATTTCATTTGTGACGGATATATCCGTCACTCTGGGTATTCAAGAGGTTAATACTATATTGTGCATGTATATATTTTATTCTTTCTTGGAACTATATTAATTTTCATTTAAGGAATATACACTGAATGATCTATCATTCTTTTAATCAGTAAACAGGGAAAATATTTATTAGAGTACATATTCATAATAACGAACAGAAGCACATAGCAAATTATTTAAAATAAAATAAAGGAAAAGCAAATAAGCTTTTGAAGCTACTTTATTATCAGATGCTTAAGGTACCACTTCCAAATTGAAAGTTTTTGTTAACATGGAACTTAAACCACATCCCTTAATAGAAAAACATATGAATGTGAAAGTTGACTGCAGCGCCATCTTTTAGGGAATCATATCTCTAAGTTAATGATTTCTGTATTACGAAAATTATTTGGTAAATAGAAGCATTATTATTTAATGTAGATTAAAGAAAATTAAGCAATTAAGATACATGTGATGTGTTGCAAGATTAATACTTATAATTTTGTTACAAATGTTGATGTGTCCATGACTTAATCATTATTATACAAGAAAGAGTATGCTGATGGGTCTATTACTTAATCATTACATGAAGGGAATGTTACCAGTGTTGATGTGTCTAGGCCTTAGTTATTACAGGAAGGGAATGTTACCAATGTTGATGTGTCCATGACTTAATCATTATTATACAAGAAAGAGTATGCTGATGGGTCTATTACTTAATCATTACATGAAGGGAATGTTACCAGTGTTGATGTGTCTAGGCCTTAGTTATTACAGGAAGGGAATGTTACCAATGTTGATGTGTCTATGACTTAATTATTACAGGAAGGGAATGTTACCAGTGTTGATGTGTCTATGACTTAGTTATTACAGGAAGGGAATGTTACTAATGTTGATGTGTCTATGACTTAATTATTACAGGAAGGGAATGTTACCAGTGTGATATGTCTATGATTTAATCATTACAAGAAGGGTATGTTACCAGTGTTGATGTGTCTATGACTTAATGATTACAGGAAGGATATGTTTCCAGTGTTGATATGTCTATGACTTAATTATTACAGGAAGGATATGTTAGCAGTATTGATGTGCCTTTGATTTAATCATTATAGGAAGGGAATGTTACCAGTGTTGATGTGTCTATGACTTAATTATTACAGGAAGGGAATGTTACCAATGTTGATGTGTCTATGACTTAATTATTACAGGAAGGGAATGTTACCAGTGTGATATGTCTATGACTTAATCATTACAGGAAGGGTATGTTACCAGTGTTGATGTGTCTATGACTTAATGATTACAGGAAGGATATGTTACCAGTGTTGATATGTCTATGACTTAATTATTACAGGAAGGATATGTTAGCAATATTGACGTGTCTTTGATTTAATCATTATAGGAAGGGAATGTTACCAGTGTTGATGTGTCTATGACTTAATTATTACAGGAAGGATATGTTTCCAGTGTTGATATGTCTATGACTTAATTATTACAGGAAGGATATGTTACCAGTGTATATGTGTATCTAGGACTTAATTAGTGTTGATAGTACAGCCATTTATATGCCTTATATATGGAGTAAAGAAAAGCCTCTCCAGGAGCATTAAACAGATAAGCAACACAAGGGAAAGGTTTACAGATTTGTGTATTCTACAGTAAAGCCTAGCCAGGAAGATTCACAGCAAGCTCTGTAGTTTAGAACTATATACTACATGTAGGGGAAGCTAATGGGGGAACCTATGTCTGCATGTACCTAGTGACGTCAGCGAGTCACCATCAGATGTAGTGGCTAAACACGTCATGCTTTTACTATGCTTCAAACCAGTAACCACGGAAACTGTATGAAACCGTTGACGAAACTTTAGCCACTTTTTGGAACCTTTTCTCTCTAAATGAAAGTCAAAATTACTAATAAATATAGAAGCAGCAAAAATAAACTTAAGATAAAATAAAAACAATGCCTTGAAGACAATGATATGTTATTATAAAAGTTAATCGCTAAATATTGAATACCGTGGTTCTACAAAATGACACAGAAAATATAGACTACTGAAGCACAAATGCACGATACATTTATTTTCATGCATTTTTTGCATGAAACACATACAGATTTCATTTTCTGAATATTAACTCCAAACTTCACTTAAATTCCTTCATTCATAAAATCATACTAATTAATTCAAGATCATAAAGATGTATTGAATACTATTAAAATGCAGATATCATACCTGTTTGCCCCAATTGAGATGTGCTGCTGCTTTTTCTTGAAAGTCCCACCAGGGCGGCGACCTTGTAGCCAAGACTTGGACGACGTTTCCTCCTGTCAGTCGTTATGGTAGAACTAACAGCAGAATCTGACATACTGCCGTCATTTTTCTCATAAACATCGCTATTGCTTAAACTTCTGTTAAGAGGTTTTGGTTTGGGATTAGGCCCCCTACTCTCCATTTTTGATGTGAATTCACTGGATAAAAAAAGAATCATTCAATAAATTAAAGAACTATCTATTACATATTTCATTCAGATTCTAAATAAAAATAAAAACATAAGGTATATCATTCTTATATTGAAAATATGAAATCAAGGAAAGTGCAGAAATCAATTAAAAGACTAGTTAAGTATTATAGGGAATAGGGATATTTCGCTATCTGTACTATTACAGTATATTAACAAGTGCATTTGGGTGTGGTTTTATATTAATACTTATAACTAAACAGGTTGAAATGATATAAATATTTACTCCAATTTTTGAGTATTATTCTCAATCTTTATTTCACTTGCCATTTGGACATGTTTTTTTTAAATTTATAACAGCATGCATCAGTTGTTAATGATTTTGACAAACATGTTTTAGTTTACATACATGGGTACATAAATCCTCTGTCATATTTGCTCTTCAGCAGGCATACAGTGACATAGCTTCACAAAATCGAGTAAGAAAGTCTACATCATACTGCTTATTCCTGTATTTTATGTTCCACATTTCTCTTGAATTTGGAAAGCTACGGCTGCCATACAGTTGCCATAGATCAAATGTGACTGAGGCATTACATGGGGTAAGTCACACAACAGAATGCTATGGAGATTTCAATGACAGACATACATAATAATGCTTAGTAAAACATGCCCTTATGTTATTATCCAAGGTACTATTAAGGTTTTTAGTGGATACGTACACCAGACTCATAACTAATTGGTGTTATTGAAATAGGTGGTTTTAACCTAAAACATCAAATATTATTGGTTGCTCCTAGGTGGTTAAATTCATAAACATTGATCAAAGATTGAATGTATAAACTAAAAATAATTATTGTACAATGTACATGAATATGATGCATAATTTGAACATTCCAAATTAACTGATAATAAATCAAAGATTAGTTATGCATCAAGAATGATTTACCTGAAGATGGAAATGGCCAAATATTTGAAGTTCACTGAATTTTCCTTTTCATTATCCAGTCCCATTTTGGAACACAATACATAGCCTGGTACACACACCCATTGCACAAAATGGCTCAATGTTTGAAAACAAGCGATGTTAACCCTTAGCCTTTCCTATTGTACCCCTCTCAAGTTTAGCCATATGAATACATTGTGATTTAAAAGACTTGATGCATAACTATGGAAATAGTAATATATGTACTTATGAACACCTCCTAATTATGAAATTGAATATTTGTCTGCTATCCGAAGTCTCTCATTAAAACACTTTTAGCCAATACTATTTTTACTGTACATGTACTAACATTTGTACATGTACAATTTTACTGAACATGTACATTATTATGTACAAGCATTCCCATTTAACAAGTTTTATTGTAGTGGTGTTCATAAAACACAGATTATGTGTTCTCAACATTTTACTGATTGCAAACTCTAAGACTTATAGGAACAATGTTATATTGTACAATATTATTGGTTGTAGTGGACTCCTCATCAAATCCACCTGAATAAACCATTAATGACAATGTTCATAAATGACAATGTTCCTTAAAACTAAATACATTTTAATGATAATTATAAAGGTAATAAAAGAATCATATCAGCATGACAAGATAAAAGTGACATAACATAAAATCGGATTGCTAAATCAATTGTAAAGTAAATGGTGAATGGAGGAGTAATCTTGTGACTTAGTACCTTTTTGGTGATAAAAACCTACGATGATCATAGCTAGAAAAATAGAATTAAGTGTGAGTGAAATTGAAAAGGTAACTAACTACATGTTTAATAGATGTCCTGCCCTTATCATAATTATAATAATTTTAAATAACAATTCAAGTCTATCAATATGAAGCATCGGATTTGGAACTTTCTGAGAATCATTTTCAATCTGACGACATTTATAAGATAAGATGAATTGTATTGTGGGCCAAATATCAAGATATGACTAAAATTGTAAGAAAAAATATAATGAGATCCAAAATATTTAGAAATTTTCTGAATATCATTAACGACATATAAATAAATTCCAACTTCACTTCCAACTGTACATTTAGAACATGGTACTCTCAGGTCATGAGTATTAGTGTTAAAACAATGTTAGTAGCTGAGAAGATCAAACTAACAAGTTTTAAGTTCCTAAAATGACTAAATGGAATCTGACTTAAAAAAATCCTTTACAACAAAAATTTAATAGAGACTTTTGGGAAATGGACAATATGGATGGAGGGAAAATATGTACATTTAATTGTAATTTAATTGGCATAATCAACAAATAGAATATACATTAGACATCAACAGATCATTTATTCTACTTATAAAGCATAATAAAGTGACCATATTTGATGCAAATGTGGACAGCTATACATGAAATGTATCTTTAAACAATATTTGAATGAAAACGGTACATTTAAAAAACAACAGGCTTATATTTCACAAAACAATTCAAAATTTTTTTAAATGTGAATTATTGTGAAACGTGCCAATTGACGCAGACAAGTGCCAATGACGCACCTAATTGGTGAGAGCAGCTCACCAGGGGGAGCACTAAACCAGCGATCTCTAGCAAGCAAAGTAACATAAATTAACATAATACATATTCAAGCAAACAAATTGCACTGCAACTTTATGAGGTGTGGTATTCAAAGGGTAACCAATTTACGAGACATTTGGAAAAAACAATTCTAATTCACCAAAACTGACATTGACAATTAACATAAATATTGTGACTCCTAAATTTTCAAATTGAACAAGTGGCGGATGTTATTACCTGAACTTGCGGCTGCTACGTGGTCTTTCAGACTGTGTGGACCTTACACTTATTGTGCTGATTTTAGAGACCTCAGACATATCACTGGCCTCGGATGCATCACTTTCAAATGCATTATCTGACTGTACCTCAGGGCTGAATTCTAAATATAAACATAAGTTTTTATGAAAATGTGCCAGAATTGTGCCATTTTAACATAATTTTTAATTGACTATTCAATAATAAAATACAGAAATTCTTCAGTATTATGTAACAAATAATTCGATGTAGTTTTCAAATATATTTAAAGATGAACCTTTATGTCTACGTCTTCTATCCAAGTCACCACGTTCAACTTCCCGACCTCTTCTATGGTCACCATCTCTTGCTCTCTCGATTCTTTTCAGCTCCCGATCACTGAATCGGTCTCTATCACGATCCCTTAGTTGCGATTTTCTATCTAAACGGTCTCTAGATATCCGTGAGTCTAATGGGTCTCTTGATCCCCGTACATTTAAAGGGTCTCTAGATCCTCGTATATCTAAAGGGTCTCGAGATCCCTGCATGTCTAGCCTGTCACGTGATCCTTGCATATCTAGCCTCTCTCTGAATAAAAACCAAAAGGATGAGTCTGGGAATGAGTCTGGGTATCGACTTAGAAAATATTGAAAATTGTAATGACTGAAAAACCAACTCAATCACACATATTATTAAACTTCAATATCTTATCCTTCTTCTGAGATTACAAAAATAAAAATTTGTATCACAATTGATGAAGAATATTGGCATCAAAGACAGTGCATATCACTTTGTCAGAATTGAAAAAAGGCAAATATTAAATGAATTATTTATGCAAAAAGTTTGAAACATATCTTCCAAAACTTTCTTTGTATAGACATTGAATGGTATTTCTGGATAAGTGAATTGGTGTTTACCTAGGTAATCAAGGGATTATAGTCACTCAAAGTTACTGAGCATCCAGTTTTGAGACTTCAATTGTGTTGGTGATGTTACCCATATTTCAGTCAAATTCATGCTGAGCACAACATTTTGGTTTCAATTTTATAATCTCTATACATGACCCTGGTGATGAAGAGTCATAATCCGTCAAAAAACCTAAACCGGAAAACTGTGCTCATTGTGAAAACTAAAAGTGAACTTTTTTTCTGATATTTCTTACATCAAATGGCAACCATCTTGTTTTCCCCCTTCAAATTAAACTGGCGGGAAATTCAAAAATTTGAAAAAAATTTTAATCCTTAAATATATTTCAAAAATATGATTTTCTTTTTAATTCTTCATGGGTCTTAAGTTATTTTTTCTTTGTATGTCATACATGTTGCCATTGGTGTTTTTTCTATGATAATGTCTATTTTGTTTTGTTAAGATACTTATTTTGACTCTCAGTAAGGGGTTAATAATGCATCAAAACTCGTGAAAAAGTAAACATACTTATCAAATATAACTAGGACAGTAATAAAAACCATATTTCACATACATTTAACTGAGGGACCAAAAGGGCATATACCCGGACACATCCTTTCAAAATAATATACAGTATAAACAATATGACCTAATCCACTACATATAGTTTTTCTTTACACTTATTTCATGTTTCGAAAGAGGTGTTGTCATATAGAGGTTTTTTGTACTGGCAAATACAACTACAAGTCAGGGGTTTCATCATCAACAATAACAACAGACAATTTAGACAAAGCAGCTGAAGACATTGCCTGTTGTTTGCAACTGATTCAATGTTAAAATAAAATAAAATTCCCAATAAGTTTGCATATATTTGTTCTGTTTTTGTACCCTATAAAATATCTAATAAAAAACTAATAAAACTAATGCGAGTACATGTTCGTATTTGTACCTTGAGCCACTGTCTAGTCTACCCTGAGAGCCAAATCTGTTGTGTGCACCATGTGGAACACGTTCCCTGTCTCTGCCTGTCTCTGAATCACTAGCAGGACCTCCCGATGCTGCGTGCTTGTAGGCATTCATCTTCATCCGTAATTTCATCTTGCGTGCTCGGTCTTCAAGATCTTGAGTCACTGTAAAGATAATGTAAATGCATTATCATTAATATAAAACATGTATTCTGTTAAACTGGTGAAATATGCATGAATTACATAAATGCAGGATTTTCCATTAAGAGGGTCATCCAGCAAATCTCAACAGTTTTCCTCTAATTCAAAAAGATTTTATCTATTCTATTTAACTTGGTATTCATGTTGAACATTCAATTATCCTTTATATACAAAGCAATATCATTATAATATGTAACATATCATTGTTGGTTTAGTTGGAAAATAGTCATTTGGAACAATGTCTCACCTTTGTCTTTGCTTTGAGATTGCACTGGTATCTGTGGCAACTGGCGTTTCTTTGGTGATGGTGTGCTCCTTGTTGGACTCTGAGTCCTAGAACGTGACCTAACATGAATAATAATTTCAGCTGTATCTTTTATTCGTTACATTTATGATAATTATGGCACACAATAATTTATCACTTTATTCCTCTCAGAATAACAATGTATAAAAATACTGTTGAAAAGTTTCTCACCTTGAGTCAGGAGGGGAAAGTGACCGGACATCTAGGTCTCTATGACGACCTGGTGACCTTGACCTGATTCTATCTGACCCTGGATCATGAGATGGTGACCTTTGTTTTCTCTTGCCGGCATCCTGAGGGGCTAATAAGTGTTTTCTCTCTCCATCATACTCATCCACGCAACCCACTGAAAGAAATTCAAAATTTCATCAATACTTTTGATCCATCAAACTTATTCCCAAAATGGTAGGAATCAAATGTTGTGTTATATAAATCATTAGCTGGGGAAGGGTATAAAAGGGACTTTAATTCTGAGCAATTTACATAGCAAAGCTACAAATGTCCATGTAGTGCAGATCATTGTTCACAATATAATACATTAGTGAGAATACTGATTCATGGTTAACTATTGCTCAAGAGTGATTCAATAAACATACATGATATATCAATGGGAAAGTAATCAGAATGCAAATTTATGAAATCAACCTATATGTACCTGAATATCACTTTTTATGGCCTATTATTGAGTATAATTGGCTGAACATTTCATACCTGATTGACCACGTCTGCGGGGCATTGGAGATGGCATCCTATCCCTCCGTCTGCTTCTTCCACCCTCAAGGTCATCATTAGGGGGTGGTGGTGAGCTACCTATTGAACTAACGCTGGCACCATCTCCACGACCAACCACACCTTGACCTGTATAGAGAAAATATTTGATATACTGACAAATAGCAAGTGATGAAAATGCAATGCAAAGGCAATACCCAGACATTAATATAACAAAAAGATTTCAGAATTGTATTTCCATTTATATCTTTCTATTGCTCATACAGGTCTAGCCTTATTGTAATGATGCCAAATGCATTAAAACATGCAGGATTTAACTGAGCTATTATCACTCATATGCTACACACAATGCATTTTCAGACAACTAACGCCAAGTAAGAACTGAGCCTTGAGATTAGTAAGACTTTGTTGAACAGCCTTGCATCAAATCTCTGGACTTCAATCTATTTCCCAGCCAAAAGATCGAGAATGGGGGGGGGGGTTAAAATAGTAGCTTGATGTGAGATTGTGATAAATAGCTTGGTTTAATGAATCTATTGGCTTACAAACATTTCTTTTTGTAATCCTTTTTAACACCAAGGCAATATTGCTGGCAAGCTCCTGGAGCATTGATACATCACTGAATTATGGTATTACCTGAGACAACTCCAACCCCCTCCTCAAACTCAGACATGTCACTGTCACTGAGTCTGGGTGCTGAGCCTTGGGGTGAGAGGTGAGATGATTGGTTCTTGTTGTAAGCTTCCCTTGCCCCTCGCCGCCCCTAACAACAACAAATATAATATATGTATATATACTAGTGTTGTCGCGATTAATCGATACATCGCGATATACATCGCCAAAGCTGATTCTGGCGATGCATCGATGTCTGAAACAAAACATCGATGTTTTAAAAAAAAATTAATTTGCTAAAAATCACCCTTTCTTATCTTATTTTGACGCAAATCGCTTAACTTTCTCATGTCTTATTTCATTTCCCAATGTTTTCTGATATTATTTCGCTTTAAAACTGTTTTAACTAGTCGAGATGAACCATTAATCTAAAAAAAATTACTTTACTTTCATTTCACCGTTACTAGAAGTTCCCGGATGAACCAGCGTTCTGTATTTTAGTGCATTAGCGTTCGGTATTTCAGTGCACTTTTCCCGGACTTTTTCTCGATGTACATCGCGATGTGCATCGATGTTTACTACTGAAAATTGCCGATGCATCGATGTACGATTATGGCACATCGCGACAACACTAATATATACACCTGAAATATGCATATTAGCTGCATCTTATTGAGTAATATAAAAGTCTTGGACAGACTAATTGAAACTTTGAGCAATATGTAGCAGCACTTCCTTTCAAACCACAACATTGATCCAGTGAACAGCTTGAAGGACACATGGCCAATTATCTCATCTCTGTGTTTTTCTGATCTTTATAAGCACAACATGGGAACAATATCTTATAAATAAATTCCTAAATATGAGTGTAACAGGAAATATATAATAGTACATTCTACATTAATAGGAGAGATCTCGTAATAAAATAACATTACAATGATTAAAAATAACAATTACAAATGGAAATAAATGTGAAAAGAAGGTCATAGTTTCATATTTCATTGTGTAATGGAGAACCTGGGTCTTATTTTCTATTGGCATTTCAAGAATTATGAGAATGGCCCTGGCACATATTCATATGGTATGAGTATGAATCTATTTGGAATAATAATAGGTGTTGCGTAATAATAACAGATTTGCACAAAATGTCATTAACCATAATCCTTTGTTCCAAACTGGGGTTTATCTAATTGTTTAATTAATATTTTGTTAAATACTGCCTCATGTTCAACTAGACAACATCAACGCCAAAGCATAGCAAATCCCATCGAACATTTTTTTAAACAAAATGTATAGCAAAAAATGGCAGCCATTTTTCAAAATGACCACCTTCTAACTTTTCAAGTTATAGTAAAATAGGATCATTTTGAAAAATGGCCGTCTTCTACCAAAAGTGTCATCAGACAGTGTGCAATGCTTATAGTATTCACATACCAAATATGAACAAAATTGCTCTCTAGTTTTCGAGTTACAGCAAAAATAGTAAAATAGCGAGTAAAGGCCGCCATTTTTCAAGATGGCTGCCATGTGCTTCTTTAAGATCTACACTTCTAGCTTTATTTATGTCCTATATAATTTTTTTACATTTTAAACATATTGCTATAACAGCTGTAAAATTAGCACTAAAATGGTCGCCTTTTTGAATGAGTTGCCATTTTGAAAATCGGCTTCGAGCAGAACTTCTATCCCCATAGTGTATATGTTTACAAAATATGTACAAAATCGGGCCAACGGTATTTGAGTTATTGCCCGGATGGACGAATAGACAGACGGACGGACAGAGGTGTTCCTACATCCCTCCGAACTTCATTCGCTGGGATAATAAATCCCAGTTGCGCCACATGAATTCACAGTAAAGCTTTTATAATAGTATCTGTTGACGCCATGGATTTTATTATTCATGATCCATCCAACTGAATGAATACCAGCTACTTGAGACTTACATATTTCCCAATTTTTTAATATTAAATCAACAACTTATCATTTTGTGTGTATACTTCATAATTCACACTTTACAATTATATGGTTGCAGAATGTACTAAAGTTAGTCATATATAACAATTAACTAATGGCATTTTCCTGTTATCATGTAATAAACTCTAATTATTTGGGATGTAATTAGCCAAAAAATAATCATATAAAAATGTTGCAAGGATTAAGAACACTGAAATGGATAGATGCTCCTTATAATACATTATCACCTTCACACATTTTAAAATAAATCATTTGTAATCATTGAGAACTTGAAAATTAATGGATACATTTGAAGCATAATATTATAAAACACAACTGTATATAATCAAGATATTTTGACTTTTAACATATAACCAACTTTTTATTGGTAATAAGTAAGTTATTAGAGGGAACGTTGTAGTCAGTTTAGCCCATACAATATAGATTTCCTACCCTTGTTCTGTCAGCAGCCTCATACGGTTTGTCGGCATAGCTAAGTTGGTACCAGTAGGCTTGGTCATTTACATCAGCAGTGGATAGATCTATCACCACCTGCAATTATATAAAGAAAATCTTAATGTAATTGTTAATTCTTTCGAACTCTATCCTGAATAATATGTCATTGTGATGACATCAAAGAGTCAGTAAAAGATATATGTATACAGGTAGCCAGAAGACAGCAAATTGTCCAATTCATGAAAAGATTACAGGATGGGATTTATGCTTAGTTCATTTAATGACAGGAAATTGCTCTCAGAAAAAAACAACAATTCATGACTTTTGACTTAGTATATTTCTCATCCTAACATGATAATATGATAAACAGATGCATATATTGACACAGAATTTCACAATTGGCTAGACATATACCTGTAATCTTATTAGAAAAGAATAATTCATGACTTCTAACTGTATATTGCTCATTTTAACCTGATAATAAAATATCCAGTTTTTCAACCATACATATACAATTTTCAACCAAACATACATGTATACAATTTTTCATCATATACTAGTAGATTTATTTAGAACCATAGAATTTCATAACTGGCTAGACATATAAAACACCCTGAAATGTTATTAGAAATGTAACAAATTATATTATGTGTAGGTGTGCTTCTATATCCTGCATTAGATGTACAAAAAATCATGTTAACATATGTAGTTCCAATCATAAAAGTGCGAATAGATGTGAGTTTATAAAACTCTAGAAATCTAGTTTTTGGGATATATAACAGGAAATGAGAATAAGTCAATCTGGACCAAGATGATTGATTACTTTTTGCTTTAGGGAGAGTAAGCAAGACTTAGACACTATGTATTATAAAGTAGATGAACAAGTGGATCTTGTGGTCTGAAAACGTCATGAGGGAAACAAGCTAATTTTTAGTTTGTCGACCGTTATTGTAATTTAGGTATATTGTAAGTATGTACCAAGCCAGATGCAAGTACAATAATTTACATGATACAAATCCTATGTTGATTTTGTTTCATATCCTGTATAATTTCATTTCTATTATCTCAAAGTTTTTTTTTCTCATTAATTTCCAAATACATTTAAAGCTGACAGCTATTTCAGGGCCCAAATAGCACTTAAATGAGGGGGTGATACAGATACCTACTTGATTAACCTACTTTCTGAAACAAGAAACTCCTGACATTACACTTGATACGTGTTCCCTACTGGCTTTGTCTAATACAGAATAGTAATAAATGAGTTCAATTAGATGTCAATATACTGAGAATAGAAAATAGGAAATTAATCGCTAAGGATTGACCTTGTATACTTTTAATTGTTTCTCATGAAACAAAGGGCAATATTATAAAATACAGTAACACCTGTACATGTGAACACCTCTCTAAATTGAATACCTTGAAATATGAACACTTTTTTAAAGCCCATACTTTTGATGAGTCGATTCCCATGTTCTCCAAAACCTTTAATATAAACACCTCTAAATATAAGTACCCCTGAATATAAACACCTCTAAATGTAAACACCTTTTCAAAGTAAACACTGTAGCTGATCCTATGATTACTGTATTGTATAATGCAAACAAACATGATAAACATTGGAAGCAGACTAAATATTTCTCCCTTGATATTGTGTCAGCAGTCTGAGAAAATCTATAAGGCCTAGAAAGCACATGGCGGTAGCATAACCAGGATGGGGCAGACGAGGCATTTGCCTCATCACTTTTCGAAACCTCTATCAATATATAGATCTAATGATGAGTTGTAGATTAATTGTATAAGTCAATAACTTTTATTGTTTTTTTAATCTTAAATCATCAATTTGATTCAATAGTACACAATCACATTATGTAATCATGGAATATAGATTCAGTAACCTATGGACCAATCAGGTTGTTGACAATGATTCCATCATGGCATAAATAGGTCTTTGATTCATATGTCCCTGATGGTATATTCCCAGATATCTAGATAAGCTGAAATATAAGCCAAGGCGGTTTATCTTTTTTCAACATATTAGCCTCTCTGAAAAGTATGAGCCATTCTATTTTATAATACTGTAATTTATTCAATGAGAATGAAATTACTAGAAATCTGAATGGCCCATATGACGTAAATATACTGAATTTTCATGTCATGGGATACAGATTCTGCAATACACTCTGATCATCATCAATAGAAGTTTGTCAGTTGGTATTATATTGTTTTTTTAGTAGACATTTGTAAAATCATGTATAACTGTGTGCACATCAAATTTCACAAACAGTTATTGCTTCTTAGAACAATCTCAAGGTCTGTATTATTAAGATAAATAATTTACTAAGGAATACAATACTTGACAAATGGAACATAAATTCATTGATAACAAATACCTGACTTTTCAGAACAAAAGAACAAAAAGGAAATTAATTATACAAAAAGATAATAACTTTAATAGTTGGAGCATGATACAGCTTAACTAAGTCAGCTTTACTTTTATAATATTACATGGTCGTCATGACCTCAGCAACTATTCTTGTGGAGCACTCTCCATAGACTTTGATATCATAATGAATGCTTCAGAAGGATTAAATATTTTCTCTTTGAAACGATTATATTCTCATTTTATTCTACGAACTAGAGGTTTTGTAATAATAATGTTATAGTAATATAATAATAGACTAGATGCTAGTAGAAATAATCTTAATTTTTTACATCATTAAATAACTAAAATTCAGTCAAAGTGATATCATATTTGAAATCAATATGTAAAATCACTTCTAGAAATGTGGTTTTAAAAACTGTTTATCAATTTTGACATTTTAATTTTCTTTGAAAATGTGACATCTTGTTCAGAGAGATTGCCAATAGACCCCATGTTAAACCGGCGATTACTAGAGTGCTGCTAACTCGATAAAAGGCTGGCGCTGGCTAGAATTGTCTATGGTTCTAGCCAGGATAAAGATACCAGTTCTTCAACTCGACAATGGGAAGAACTGCTCTACCTGAGTGACTAATATGTCATGATATGACATCTAAAGAGTCAATAAAAGATATATATTAAATCACAAAAAGTGAAAATCTTCTTTTATTGGACAGATAATATTTTGTTTTACTGGACATATTTTCATTTCTATAATTATAAGGAACATTGGGGTAATATGAAAATTGATCCGTTAAAACTGATGAATATCCAAGTTAATGGAACTTTCAAATATATCTGCCATGTTATCTGGCCCAAATTAGCAGTGATGAAACTGGTAAATACAGAACTACCTACTACCTACTTGCATCTAGGTTATAATAAGAAAATATTCATTTTTGTTTATTCTTAAATAGAATGTATAAACTACTGTATAGTACCATACATGGATAATTAATTACCTTCGGTGTCTCACATAATATAATATAAAAATAAATGATTTGGGGTTTTATTCAAAACACATTCAGTTTATACATATATAAATGTATAATTCTGAATTCAAATCTTTAAAATTACAAGTGACGAGTAAACGCAAGTCAGATTTCATAATTTATAGGTCAATTTAAACTTCATAAGATATTTATTATATTGTTTATACATTTTTGGCCTACCCTGTAACCGCCCTTCCAAAGTCTAAAACATGTGTTAATCGTAAATCATTCAAATGATAATAATGTTTATTTCACAGAAACATGATTCTGTGGATTGTTTTAATAATGAATAGTAAATGTAATTTTTGATCAAATATACATACTAAAAGCCTAGTGTTTACACAATAGTAAAAAAAAGGATCAGTTTAAAAAAGATTAAAGGTGAAGAATTCTGTTTATAATACATCCGGTTTGTCCGCCCCCAATTTCCCTTATAAAACAAAATTATGTTTGAGTAACTAAAGTTTAAGAGCATGATTTTTGTCTTCCCTCCCAAAGTCAAGAAAGTCTGAGTCAGCTACTTAATATACATTATTTCTCACATTTTTATATATCAGTTAACATTTACTATGAGCTGGGAGTATCTCTGTTAAGAAAAAATAGTCAAAGAAAAAATCCAGATAAAAGTTAAAGGATGCTGTTACATTAAAAAAGAAATTACCTAGTTGCTTATAGATAGTTACTAGTTTCAGCACTAGGAGGTTGATTTGGGTCTGATTACATGGCAGCCCATCGCAGACACAGAAAAACCTTCGAAAAGACTTAGATAATAAGTAGATTTAGTGAATCAATTTCGAGTTTAATAATTATATAATTTAAAATATCTTCCATAAATAAAATTATTATCTGTTCAGTTAAAGAATGTATGTTGTTGCAGTATTGATGATTTTATGACATGGGCTCTCTAGGAATCTTCCCAACATAGAAATTAGAATTTCAAAGAAAATAAAAATTTCAAAGTTGATCAGCAATTTTTAAAACCACATTTATAGATTCAATTTTGATTTTGACTGAATTTGAGTATATAACGATGAAAATCAAGATTATTTCTACTTGCAACTAGACTGTTGACAGTTCAATGAGTATTTATAGAAATGCCTACCACTTTGCATTTATAGCGATCCTCATCATCGGAGGAGTCAGTTTCCATAGTAGCCAGTATAAAAGTTGAACACTGGTTGCTTTTAAATGTTAGAATCCATTTTCAGCATTCCTGTCTTGAAGAATATTTCCAAGAAAATAACTCCTGTTGAGAAGATGGGTGTTTACTGTGACTCATAATGAATCAAAAAAATTCATCTCATTAATTTCAATCCTAATTTTTCTAGAATTTTACTAGTTGCTTGAAGCTGTTGACTTCCTAAGTGATAGAACTCCCGAAGATGAAGTAACTGTGAACTCCTGAAGATGAAGTGATTGTATTTTAGATGTAATCATTTAATAATCTGACACAAGATCAGAATTCCATGACATGACTGAAGCATGAAATAATCACGATGCGTTTAAATCCATTCTATTAAGTGTGATGTTCTAGGCCTGATAACCCCCACCCACCTACCAACTTACACCCCCATACCTTCAGTTTTAATTCATAACCAGCAGCTGCACAGTAGTGTCATTTAATACCCATATAGTCTTGACATTCTCAATTTCTCTCTCCATGCACAGTTCACCTATAGCATGAG